ATATATTCTCAGTGTCTAGTGAAGGCTGCTCCTGAGAGTGTATTTTTTAAGGTGCTTGAATCTTAGGCCATAAGAGTCCATCATGGTTCTGTCAAATTAAAGGCATTTCTGTGAAGCTGCCACTTAAAGTAATGACTTATGTCAGCACTTCACCAAAAATGTGCCATCATTTGAAACACGTGGCCATTATTCAAACATGCTGTGTAAAACAGGAAGGGGTTCATGATCCCACAGGAAATAAAACGTTTGATGAAAAATACAATGTGTTGATTAAACTTCAATTTAACAAACAGAGAGTAAGATTGAAAATGTCAAACGAATATTATCCAGGAGGATTCTGGGTATGTCTTGTAATACATTGGGTTTCAATATCTGGTAAATTAGGAGCATCCACCAAAGGCTCAGTATTTGCAGATCACTTTGTATTGAACTTCACAGAACACAAAAAGAAAAATAACATTGAATTGTTTTTGGCCTGTTAGCTCTCCATCTGTCTTCCAGCTCCACAGTTCCTGCTGCAGTTTTCCTGGATATTATCCACTTTACAAGACACTGTTGTTACCAAAGGTATTTGCTCAGGCTGTCAAACAGAGAAGGTTGTGATTGCTGCTGTGTTTAATCTGGCTGTGGCTGTGTAACTGTACCAGCGGGTCAGAGGTTGTAGCTTTTAAACCGTGATGATGTTGAAGGGACTGAAGATCTGATCGTTGACGCTTCATCTGGTTCTCTTTGTCTGCCACATCTTCACTCTCGCTTTCTCTCACTCACTCCCTCACTCTCTCTCTCTCTCTCTCTCTCTCCCTCTCTCTCTCTGTCTCAGTCCTGTCTATACCTGCCTTGTGAATTGCTGAAGTTCTTCATCCTCCTGGTCTTCATCTACCCCCACCCACCATGCCACTCCTCCCTTTCCCTCACTCCACTGTCTAAACTTAAACATCCCTCGGCAGTGGGAGGTAGAGAAAGCGTCCACACTTAAAAGATTTACCACCCTGGGGCGACACAAAAGTTCACGAGGTAGGAGTGCAGCCCGTGTGTCCGACTCCACCTTCCCCTCGGAGCTACATCCAGCCCTGGTCCCACCCCAGCCTCACCATGACTGTTCCATTTCTCTCCATTTAAACCCTCTGTTTTCTCTTTCCTTAGTCAAACATTACACCTTGTAATGTTATCTATTCTCTGTACTGTGTAGTTCAGTGTAGTTCAGTGTCTTCACAGCAGTGAAGTTTAAGGAACATCAAACCCCAGACATCCTCCGCCCACTTCTGCCTTTGTTCCACATTGACCAAATTTTTTCTTTGCATATTCATGAAATCTGAGATCACTGTTGGAGAGGAGAGTTCTAACATTTCACTGCCCACAGGTTACGCTGTTAGTAAGTATGTTGTATTGGTCCGATTGTGCGTTAGGAGACAAAACAGACAAAACAGAGAACAATCTTCAACAAATAAAGTCAAGTTAAAGACATCTTTTTGTCCTGTCCCGGCTCATGAGCTCAGTTTTTAGAAGCATCTGGAATCACTTCCAGCTGTGCTGCCTTTGTGTTAGGCTCAGCTCTGAAGTGAACAGCTCAGAACAGAGAAGTTCATGGAAACAAAGAGTGGGGAACGAAGGAACAAAAAAAATGAAACATATACATAGTCTTGTGTACATTATAAGACATACATACACACACATATATAGTTTGATTAGATTAACTAAAGTCATAACAAAAATAGTAAAAAAAATAGTAAAGGATACCAAATGACAACACATTTTGATATTCATTGCACATATTCAACATAAATACATAATGTGTAGACTAATGAGGAGGCGGTGGTCTTTGTTTTTTTATGGTGTCAGAAGGAGAGAAAGTGTCTGCTGCCGTCTTCGTTCATTGCTTCAGTTCCTCTGAGGCAGGACACGCTTTAACAAGTCGACCAGCTCGTCACCTGTCACCTGTAGCTGTGAATATTCCACCCCCTGAACCTCCCACCGGGCAATCCACTATGTACACATAGACATATGCATATATTCTGAATCTACATAATTCTATTCTTTCACCACTGTAACAGATTTCCAATCTACCATTTCAGTACAGTAGCAGGTGTTTGTACTGACGTCTGTTTAGGTTATTGAGCCCATGCAGTATCCTGCAGTCTGCCCTGTCTCCCATTAGGTCTGAGCAAAGAGGGCACAGCTAAAACAATTGTATGCAGTATAATAATGCTTGTATCTTGTAAACTTCAGATGTTTAAATAAAACAGTCTTAGTGCTGGAGTGAAAACATGTAGGTAGGATCCCTGTGGGACCATCACTCTGTGAGGCCTTGTCCTCAGACCCTGGGTCTGTGAGCGCAGAGGCCAGAATAAACATCCTCTGCCATCCAGAGAGCTAAACCTACAGAGAAGATCTGACAGGAGATCAGGACGAAAGGAGGTTGGAGTCAGCTGCAGGCTGCAGGTCACAGATGACTGCTAAAACCCTGCCCATGTGCTTGGTTTGTGTGAACCATACATGTCACAGGTATGGTTTAACCCTAACACCTGTCATATTTGTGCTGAGTCCAGAAAAGTAAATAATCAGTGTGAAGATCAAGGCTGGAGCATGTCTCAGCAAACTGTGAAACACAGACCAACGCCAGCTCTGAGCTCTAGAGACAAAGCTGTAAAAAAAAAAAGAAAACTCATCTTTCAATCAACAAAAATTCACATAAAAACATCTACACCATCCAGTCGGTATCCTGATATCATCACAGCCTCTGTAGAGCCCCCCCTAGTGCATGAATTCTCCTTCTCCAGACTCAACCCAAAATCTCAAGCTGGCTCACAATCCAAACACACTGTGCTCAGAAAAGACAGTGGTGACGAATGCGGATGTATAACTGCTGAATATCGCTCACTGGAGGGTGGTCCTTTACAGCCAGTGGCCTGGAGAGGCTGGCGTTGGTGGTGCTGCTGGTGGTGGATCCTTAAGATGAAGCGGTGAAATGTGAAACTCTGAATCATCTAGTCACTAGTAGGAGGAGCTAGAGCTGCAGCAGTGAAACGTGGGGGGAAATTAACTCTTTCATTTAATCACATGAGTATTCTGGTCATACCAACTAGACAATATGGAAAAAAACTTTTTTGTTTGTTTTTGTTGTGATCAGTACCTCCAAATTCTTGCTCTTCCCACAACTTCTGAATTGAAACCGGAGGTTCTATGGAACACTGTACACAATGACCACCTAGTGTGTTGTGGTAGTAAACATCTACAGCATGTGTTCTCCTCCTATTTACACCCCCACCCCCCACCCCACCCCCCAAAAAAGAAATAGATGTAATGAATGTAATGTAATGCAGTTAAAACCAGAATCTGCAGCTCCCTGTGATTTACTCTGTTTTTATGATGGCTTTGAGTTCATTATTTAGTCAAGTCCATGACTTTACTGCTTTGACTCAGTCCGTTTGAGATGTTTCCAGGAATGATAATTCTGAATTTCAGCAGGTAGATATATGTTGGGTTTGTTTTTTGTTTTTTTTGGTTTACTATATTAAAGTAGTAGTGGTGCTTTAGCCTCTTAAGCACCACTAGTATGACCCACATTAAAACACAGCAGTGTGGGTCTACTCTGTTCAGCTCAGACCAGTACATGGAGTCTTGAGAAATGACTCCATGTACCATTTATCAGCCAAAGTCACACACAGAGCAACTGCCATACAGTTACTAGTGCACCACTAGATGGAGCCCAAGTGTCACCGAAGTTACAAGAACCACCGTTTGAGTATCCTATTTAGACTGTTAGTGTTGGAACCGCTGCCCTCAGAGACAGCCGTGGGTCGCAGCACTGATCCAATCAGTTTTGTTACCTGGTAAAAACAAGAGGAGGGCTCTGTATGAGGAGCCATCCTAAAATAGTGTTTTCCATAAAATAGATTGTAACCCTGTTGTGCCTTTCACCTGATCAGGCCTTTCACTCTGGTCTGATCCTGCCTTCAGACCAGCTCTTCCCCTCTCATCTGGATTGTCTGAAACTGTGTTGCAGGAGACGTCAGATTGATAGCAGCTGTGGCTGTTGAGTTCATGCTGTGGGAGGCTGCAGTGGGCCAGCGGGGCGGAGCTTCAACATCTGGAAAAGAGAGAAGCTGGCTGAAACACTGAGACCAGAGATAGCACGGCAACATGGTTACACGGTGAGCCAAAGTCACTGCTGCTTCCAGACGGTGAACAATTGTCCTGTTTGACGCCACTGTCGCTGTGGTACAATCCTGTGGACGCAGTCACTTAAAGGTGTGCATCTGTGGATACGAAGTGTCAGTGGAGAGCAGGGGTGGAGTTTGGCCCCTGTGGTCCTCTCCTGATGTCAGAACGTGTCTAAACATGTGGTAGCCGCCTGTAAAAGGAAAAAGAAGGAAGGGGGTTGAGCTGGTCAACAAAACTTTTCCCCTCTCTGTTTTTCTGAAAATGGTGTCCCTTTCCAAAAGAAAAGGAAAATGTTCTCTTCACATTTCGCCTTCTATATTAACTGTATGTTTCAGAAGTTTTACCCTTTATCTATGGTCAGAGACACAAACATTCAAAAAAAGGCACAACCATATTTTCTCTTTTAATGTAAAATGTGTTTAATAAAAAGTGACTAATGTTTAACATCACCTACTACTTTCTAATGTAGTTCATAAGTGCATTTACATTTATTAATCAGCAGTAAACAAGTTTAAGTGAACTCTACTTCCCTTACTTCCCTTTACTAAATAACCAAGGATAACTATGATTCATTTTCTCTGTGGAGCTGTAGGCCGTGGACCCTACTCTATTCTGTTGTCAGGAGTTTGTTGAACTGGGTTCATGCTTTGTTCAGTCAGAGCACAGAATGCAGAAAAGTCACTGTGGATGTCACATTTATTTCTGGTGGAGAAGTGTATTTGACCATCCCATGGTAATTATATGCTGAACTTCCAGCAGAGCTAAGTCAGTATAATTAACTCCTCTCCCTCCCGTTCTGCTCCTCATTGGCCTTGACTAACCTCAGTTTCCCTTGTTGTTCTGAAAAACTGATAAAAGACATTTTATAACTGCAGTAACTGTGTGAATAAAGCAGCCGTGACAGTGGGTTTTCTCTGGCTTCGTGCAGAGGAGGGATGGAGGTTTGACTGGCAGGCCCGGGTACTGGCATCCCGTGGCTGACTGGACAGAGGGGGCTTTCTTCTCCTCGGACCCACCACCCACCCCACTGGTCCTCTCCTGCAGACCACAGTTTGTCAGCCAATCTGCTCACCGTTTAGTGTGGAAATGTTCACTTAGTGCAGGAAGTCTGAGGTTTCCCCCCTCATGTTTGATTTCAGGTGTTATCCAAACAGAACTGGGGTTAAAGGCAAGGTCAGAACAACATAGGTGGGAACTGGAGCCTTTTTGATGAAGTCCTTTTTAGCATCTCCACATAACTCTGAAAGGTGTTAATGAACACTCAGGGTGTTTTATGACAGCGTTTATTTGGTGATCTACGTGTGGCATCATTGTCAACGCCACACATTTACATGTGGTTTTAAAATTGTAATACAGTGAAAAGATGACTGTACATATTGCACAAAGTAAGATAAAATATATTAGACATGTACATGAGGCAAATGATTAAGGACAGAAATAAATCAAACATTAAACATTTGATTGTTAGATTATACAATTAAGCCTGGAAGGAGTGTTTTAGAGTCATAAGTATATACATATATATATATGTACTACATCTGAGTAAACAATTGAAATTAATGTGAAAACAAATATAAAACAATTACAGTATTTACATTGATTAAAATATTGTTGGATTTAAGGATATCATATTTAAATTCTCTATTCTGAATTGCAGGAGAACATTTATAAGCCCTCAACAATTCTGTACTCAATGTTTTCCGAACACTAACCATAATTTCCATATCTTGCAGAGGGATGAGGACCAACACAGACCGTAAATGAGGCCAAAACTCTCCAGCTAGCCATCTTCCTCTGTTGTGTCTTCCTCTAACCCTCCCAATAATCCTGCATTACACGGCTCCAGGTTGGTGCAGTTTCACTTGTGTCCTCCAGGGGAAGCATGAGGCTGGCTCACTTCAGCTTCTTCTTGGCCAGCTGGGCCACCTCCTTGGCCTTCCTCCTCTTCAGCTTCTTTTTGAGGAGGAGCAAGTCGATGTAGACGATGTGGTCCAACACTGCGGAGGCGCAGAGGAGTCCACCATGTAGAGCTCCTGCTATCCCGCAGCTGAACACGTCCTGGCCTGGAAGACAGAGACTCCACGTGAAAACAGAGAACCTGGAATCCAGCTTAAGGCTGAGATATGTTTTCGTACGTTTTTCAAACACGCGTCCCTTCCCAATCATTGTTTTTAACTTTAGCCTTAATAGAACCCTGCCTGTCATCATAAGAATCACTCTGTCAAATCTCTTCCAACATCTACATGTGTTGTTAAGCAGCACAGATTGTCATACCTGAGATGTAGAGGTTTTTGACCGGTGTATTACACCTGTTTCTCGCTACGGTCTCCGCCTGGAAGCGGTCAAGGTTGTGTTCAGCGGAGTACATTGCTCCACGTTGAGCCCCCAGGTAGTGCATGTTGGTCAGTGGGGTCGCCACATCCTGGAATACTAACTGCAGAACAAAGTACACATTTCTAATAAGAAATAAGACGACCTTTAACTTTTACTTCATTGCAACAGACGCAGGCTTGACACAGACACAGACCTTGTCCTTGATCTTGGGGAACACAGTGCAGGCCCAGTCAAACAGGTTGTTAGCAAATCTCATCTTGTAGTCGTAGTATTCGTCACCCCTTTTCCGCACGGTGGTGTCCTTCCATTCCTCGAACCATTCGTATTTCACCATTGTCAGAATTGTCATGCAACATTTTCCTAAAGGAGCAGGGAAAGAACAAGGCTTTAAAGCCTGTTCCATTGAAGTCCATACATTAAAGCTCTGGAGGAACAGTGTTTGTACCAGGATGTCTGACTTTGGCTTCAGTGTCTTTGGAGGACGGTATTGTGATGAACATCATGGGAATGTTATCTGGAGCGTCCTCTTTGCTCAGAGCAAAGAAGTCTTCCATCCTGAGGAGAAAAGTGAAGTCTCGATTAGTACTGGCGACAAATAACAAGAAGCCATATAAACGCTGCTCTTTACGCCATCTAGAGGATGACAGATGGAATCTCATGTTCCCTGTAAAACAAGCCACGTAGTAAAGAGTCATGTTGGTTATCTTATACACACGTTTCATTCAGTTACGTTATATTTAGCTGAGCGCCTCATTAGGATAAGTAGCAATGAAAAATTATAAATGTGTCCAAGGTATAATCAGCAGGTTTACTGTGAGTCTCTTCTTATACAACAGTGCCCCCTTCTGATTAAAAAAGAGAAGACGGAAATAAAGAAAAAGACAGTGATGTGATGATAAAGGAACAGATAAAGAATAAGTTGAGGGAGATAAAGATAGGGAGGAAGATGAAAAAGGAGAAAAGGGAAAAAAGAAGATGATAAAGAGGATGTTGAAAATGAAAAAGAAGAAGAAGAATTGTTCTTCCTACTACAGTAATGCACACTTACGACTTGTCCATATCATTGTTTTTAAAGAGCCAGAAGTTGGTGGACACGAGGCCCAGCTCCTCCTCAGTGCCGTCAAAGCCAGAGAAGACTAAGAATGACCCTCTGCCATGTTTCATGGTGTTGAGTCTTTCCTGAATATCTACAAAATAGATAGAGGAGTGTGACAGTTCACAGGGAAGGACATCTTACTCCACTAAATATCCCCCATTAGGCAGTGAAACAAACGAGGCATTTGGACATGCATTATCAATATTAACTCAAGTTTGGTCACAAATGTGGTAAATGAGAGGAAAGTTGAGAGTGGAGTGACACCAGAGGGAGGGGTGTATACGTGAAAGAACATGAAAACCAAGCTCAGAGTAAAAGTAAAATTTTAATGCAGAGATTTGGATTTACTGTGGTAAATTTCCATTAGTACACCAAGAAGATAATTCATGACTGAATAACTGAGGATGTTGTTAGGATTTTTATTTCTGTTCCTAGATTATTTGTCACTGTGATTAACATCTCTCACCGTGTTTGACTTGAATCTCTGTTGACAGAAGCTTCTGGAAAGTGGTGAAGATACCACAGTTGGAGACAACAACAGGTGCATGGACCTCGACTTCCCCCTGACCTTTCCTCACTTTCACACCTTCACCACAGAAAAGTCAAGTTCAAGTCAAGCGGACATTACTTTACAACTGAAAGGTAATCTTTTTTTTTGTTTTGTTTTGTTTTTACCATACGCTGCTCCTTTCTCATTGACCAGGATCTGTGAGACCGGGGCTCTGACCAGACAGTTGCCTCCATATTTCTGAATTGTCCGAATGATGTGAAAGGCGATTTCACTGGCGCCCCCCTTAGGATAGTAGGCTCCTCGTTTGTAGTGATGGATGAGGAGGGCGTTGATCAGAATGCTGGAGTCTTTTGGAGGCACGCCTGAACGTGAATAGATACATTACTACTCAGCAACAATAAAACGTTTAATAAGTTAAATATTAATATTGAATAAGTTAAATATGTTAATTTAAAAAATCCACTCCACTCATTATCTCTTCAAATGAGAGATATGAAGATGCATGAGATGCAGTTGCTTCTTGCTCAGAAAATGCTAACAGTTTGCAAAAATATCTCAAAATACTGTATCTTCCCAGCTGATAACATCAGATATGTAACCACAACGATATCTAAAAGTTAGCACTGATTAACAACAAATTAGCCATACAACAATGTAAAATGATCTAAAACTGATTCAAAATAGTCCCCAATACCTTAACAGTAACATTTAGTGTAACAAATAATTCTAGGTTGCTATAACTACAACAGGTCAGGGTTAAGTTCATTTAAGGGAATTTATATTGATCTTAAAGGTCAAGTTATAAAAAGAATCAATCAATATCTGATAATAAAAAAATTAAACCACTTAAACAATATTAAACACTAAACCAGGACAATTCAGCTTGTCAACTGAACAGATGTTTACTTAATCACATAGTGTATGAGTGCCATTTAACTACACTCATACTTTACAGTATGAGTGTATGAGTGAAGTATGAGTGTACAATACACTCATACTTTACACTACTCTATTCCGCTGTGTTCCTGCAGACCTACCGTAGAAAAGGTAGGAGAAGATGACGTGCAGATCCTTGTTGCTCGTCAGAGAGTTAACCAAATCTGTGGCACATGTCCCTGAAAGACGGAAGACTGAGGACACCAGGTCTGCGATGCCAGACTTCAACAGGAACAGAGAAACCCACTGAGGGATCAGCTTTAGAGTGGCCAGATAATGAGTCTTCTTCGCTGAGATCTGTTGGGGTGTGGAGAACAGAAAAAAAGAGAAAAAGACTGATTTAGTTTTCATTTAAACCCGGTGCAGACTGACGTGAGTGTCCTCTCTCCCCGAGCACCTTCATGATCTTGAAAAAGGTCTCGATGGCCTCTGTGTCATCAGGAAACTGTTTGAACAGATGAGCCTTCATCTCACTTTTCCCAGAGACTATGGTGTACTCTCTCTTCTCATCACCCAGGCCAATCTGGATGGTGTCAAAGTGTGGATTCAGCTCCTGGAACTCCAGCTGACCCTCAGAGATCTGGTCAAAGGCGATACGCAGCAGACTGTTCTCATGGAGCTGACCGAGGTAATGAAGACCTGGGGAAGAATTACCAAAAATTCTATATGGTTAATGGATATTCCATGGTGTTGCATTCATTAACTTATTAATTCACATCATTCATGAATACAAAATAAACAATTAAACTAATGTTTTATAGACTGTGGTATAAATCCAGCCTATCAGGGTTGAACCATACAAATATGGAGGGACATGCAGACCAGGCAGACCACAGATGACCTGGATGCAGTGGGTTTTCTTTCCTAGGTCTAGTGCAACATTTCAATTTTTCTTCAACATAATACAGACACACTTTGTCATGTCAGTCAAAGTCCAACATGGCCCTGCAGATCATTTACTCATAACTGTTGTTGGGCTGATAATGCACCTACATTAAGTGTAACTATGTTCTTAATTGAACCAATGCTTTAGTTGTTCCAGATAAAGCAAAGACAAATAAGCTTATTCTAATTTAAAATAATAATAATAATATTAAAAGATGCTAGCTGCTGTTCATAGAAGAAGAAGTAAAGGTTAACTAAGTACAAGGAATGAAGTACTTCATAGATGTACTGTATCAGTCAGGTTATTAATGTTAGTAGCTGTACAGTTCTGCTCCCTGTCTTCTTACCAACATCAAACTCAAAGCCTTTTTCTATATAGGTGTGGCAGCAGCCTCCAGCCTGATCATGTTGCTCCAGCACCAAAACTTTTTTTCCTGCTTTGGCCAATGTGGCTCCAGCTGTCAGCCCACCAATACCACTGCCAATGACAATGACGTCCAGATTCTGTGGCACCTTCTCCAGAGTGAAACCTGCATGGAGGCACACACACACACAAACACACATACAGCTGCTTAAAACGCAGTCATCATGTCTAAACACTATAACAGTGCACATTAAAAATCAAAAGTCTTGTGTAATTTCAGTTACATAAGGTGGTCTGAAGGTCACATGACACACCTCTCCACTTACAGCTGCCCTTTATCTCTGCCCTCACATCAGCAGTAAACATTAGATTGGTAATGGCTAGGTCATAATTTGATTTAGATAGTGGTTTATTTTTCTTATCTAAACTCTGAGTTACAACACAGAAAACTAGCCCCTCAGAATTTATATCATGTTGAGGTAATCGTCTGCCACTAACAACAGTGCTCCGATCAAAAGGAATCTATTAACAATGTCTTAAAAAAAACAAACATATATATATATATATATATATAAACACACAATTTCCAGAGTGTACGTTTAAACATGTTTTTTAGCCATGTTGCTGGAAGCTGTCACTGGTGGAGCCGCCCTTGTGGCCAACAAACAAGCCCTTTGCCCAGGATGAACAGGTCCAACTGTCAGACAGCTGAATGACCCAAGGCCCAGTGTTCTTTACATTTTTCTTTTAAGACTTTACAGTAAATATATAGATAATATTTAAGATGACATCACATTTCCTGTTCCTAACAATTAGATTTTGAACACATGCACCATCTGCTCTAGAGTCCACAGTACGGTACCTTGCTTGATGACTTTGTCTCTCTTCTTCTGGTCAAACACACGAGGACCCGGAGGTCTGACCGACTCCAGCGTAAAGGGACTGGGTTTCCCGAACAAATACCAGTACGTGCCACCGGCCCATATCACCAGCCAAGCTAAAAGAATCAGCAGCCACATTGTTGAGATAATGGGTCAGTGGGTTAGACTGATGTGTGATCTGAGCGTTGACGGCAGCTGCAGTTATAGTAGAGCCTCTGAATACTACTGTCCTTACAGGACTCCTCTTTATGCTGTGAGCCAAAGGTCCATAAGAGAGAGGCGGGAGTTGGATATGCAGTGGTGCTGATACAGAGAGGAGCCGTAAAGATAAAGTGGTCAGAGACCCATTTTCTTTTGTTATGACACTGCTGAAATGACAATAACAATATGCTGTTCTAGCTGGTCTTTAGTTACATCACTTTCCCCGTTAGTGCCTCAATAAGATGGAACTGTCTTGTGTTGTGTTTATAAAGGCTAAACCCATTGTGGTCGAAGCTGTTAGCTCCTAATGCAACACTGCACATTGGGTTGTAGAGTTTGGGTGGTTGGCCGAATTCCAGGCGATCTTTCTTTTTTATGGTGTTTCTGGAAAGACTTTTGTATGCAGGATTGGGTTAATTGGAAACTCCAAATTTTCCATTTTGTAGGAATGTTGTGGTGCTTTGGTCCAGAGGCAATGTCTCTGTCATTGGTCTGGAACCCCGGGGTTCACCTCCTGGGCAAGATCGAATCCCTGTTAGGGCGGTTGGTACGTTCCAGTGGACTCACCACCCACAGAAAGGTTCAGGGGGGTTGGTACGGTGCAATGTGATCGTCATGGAGACTGCTGCCCCCACGACCCGGTAACGGATAAGCGGATGAAAATGAATGGATGGATGTAAGAATGTTAGTGCAAATGGTTGTTCAACTCTAAATGTGGCCCCATGACAGACCAGAGACCAGACTCTGTCGAGGAAGTTCTTCTGTCCTCCTCTGACTTTCTCATTTCAGTGCAGGAAATAATTACTTCATGTGAATATTATTGTGATTATAATATTTTATTTTAAGGTATTGTCTTTATCTTTGTGCATTAGAGTCCAGGCCTTAACTTTGGTCTAGAAGTTGTGGAAAAAAACATGTTTTCTGCCTGTGTGTAGTGGGAATATCTATGGTCACTTCAGTGATCTTATAGGAAACATCTGTAGATTAGATAAATCTACAAGCTAACTGCTTTACTGATAAGGCAATTTAGATAAATGCTATACCAGACCCTTCATCTGTGGTGTGCACTTTTATGGCTTTACGACAGTCAGGGAACTAAATGGAATCTGGTAGAGTTTTATCATGGACATTTGATTACAACACACTAGGATTTCTAAGCAGAACTTGCAGATAATATGAGGTCAAAGGCTAGATTATTCAAAATGAACTGGAGGATTTTATACACCCATTCCTGTTGTATATATATATATGTGTGTGTGTGTGTGTGTGTGTGTGTGTGTGTGTGTGTGTTTGTGTATATAAACATATGAAGTTACAAAAGTATGTGACTCCCTGTACGTTTTTTAATTGTACAGTACTTTCAATACCAACCATTTAGAAAGGACTATGTGTTTCTTATTTTTGTGCTACCATACGTCTTTAAGAGTGAAATATTACATTTTCAACAAATGGCTTGTTCCTTCTGTCTTCGAATCTGTTGAACTACATGCCAAGCTTGCCCTGGACAGAACATTTAAGCCTAAGCTTTCCTGCAGGTGGATGTCGAAAACTCTTGTGAAAATCACTGTCAGTTGTTATAAATATTAGTAAGAATGTTAGTGCAAATGGTTGTTCAACTCTAAATGTGGCCCCATGACAGACCAGAGACCAGACTCTGTCGAGGAAGTTCTTCTGTCCTCCTCTGACTTTCTCATTTCAGTGCAGGAAATAATTACTTCATGTGAATATTATTGTGATTATAATATTTTATTTTAAGGTATTGTCTTTATCTTTGTGCATTAGAGTCCAGGCCTTAACTTTGGTCTAGAAGTTGTGGAAAAAAACATGTTTTCTGCCTGTGTGTAGTGGGAATATCTATGGTCACTTCAGTGATCTTATAGGAAACATCTGTAGATTAGATAAATCTACAAGCTAACTGCTTTACTGATAAGGCAATTTAGATAAATGCTATACCAGACCCTTCATCTGTGGTGTGCACTTTTATGGCTTTACGACAGTCAGGGAACTAAATGGAATCTGGTAGAGTTTTATCATGGACATTTGATTACAACACACTAGGATTTCTAAGCAGAACTTGCAGATAATATGAGGTCAAAGGCTAGATTATTCAAAATGAACTGGAGGATTTTATACACCCATTCCTGTTGTATATATATATATGTGTGTGTGTGTGTGTGTGTGTGTGTGTGTGTGTGTTTGTGTATATAAACATATGAAGTTACAAAAGTATGTGACTCCCTGTACGTTTTTTAATTGTACAGTACTTTCAATACCAACCATTTAGAAAGGACTATGTGTTTCTTATTTTTGTGCTACCATACGTCTTTAAGAGTGAAATATTACATTTTCAACAAATGGCTTGTTCCTTCTGTCTTCGAATCTGTTGAACTACATGCCAAGCTTGCCCTGGACAGAACATTTAAGCCTAAGCTTTCCTGCAGGTGGATGTCGAAACCTCTTGTGAAAATCACTGTCAGTTGTTATAAATATTAGAGAAACAGCACAGACTGATTACAATACATACTACATTACAATCAGAGTTTCTTTTTTCTATCAATTGTATGTTGAGAAATGTCAAGAATTGTGCACATTTGCTGTTGCCTCTATTGAAAGTGACACCAATTAGAGGGCTGAGGGGATAGGCTTAAAGGCTTTAATACAGGAAGCAGCTCCTTGTCAACAGACCAGTGTAAAATCCTATTAAGAATTAGACTTAAGCAGTGGCCACTCATTTGACTTTGCCTTGCTCTGTACAGTAACAAAGGTAAGTCTACGTTGTCTTGGGCTGATATTTGATCAAAAAAAGTGCAGCATACCCTATTTAATATTAACTACTATAATAAAATGAGATAGAAGGGCAATACAAAGTAGGTGTCAGAGAACCAGCCAGGTCAGGTCAAAGCTCTTTGCAGCTAAATGCTTTTCATAACAAAATGACAAACAGTTTCTTATCAACAGTAACATACAACAGTACAGAGATTGGAATGGGATTGCATCACATTTACTTAAAATGTGTTTCCTGTCTACATTTTATTGACATTATTTCTACAGGACTATCACAGAAATGCAGCCGTAGACAATTCAAAAACAGTGGATGTCATTATGTGCTATGTTATTATACATCCTCCCTTGTCTCCCTTGTAGGGGTTCTTGTCATCTGGAACACCCTTGATCAGCGGATCATTCGGTAGGCGCTCCTCAACAAAAGCAATGGTCTCTGCACAGTTGGCAGCCACCTGTGTTTTTAACAGAAGAGCAAACACAGGATTTTCTAAAAGCATAGATTGAAGATTTTTCTTGTCCATAAAGCAATAAACTACATGTAAACAAGACAGAATACAAGAGCTCTTTGACTTACTGGTGTCCTAGTTGTGTTAACTTCTTTTTTCAACTGCTCCAGCTCCATTTTCAGGATTTCCTTATCTGACATATCCCGAGCCATTCTGGCTGCATGAAGGGTTTAGGAGAATACTTTATTTAAAATTTGTACACGACTTAACTCCATCATTGTTCACCTATACATTTTTAACTTGAATTATTTACAGTTAAAATATAATTTAATGATAAAACACTACTGCTTAAGTACATAAAAACCCAGCCTAATACCACTGTCAGTGTAGTTTCTTACCTGTTGAATGGCAGGACCTCCAACAATCTGAGAAAAGTGTTGGCTCCTAACAGCTTGTCGACTGTACGCTCTCGTCTAGTCCTGTCTCCTGCTCACACTAACTGATCTCTGCTGTCTTACTGCTCTTCATCCCAGCTGATCCCTAGGGACAGGCTTTTGGCAGAGGTCATTGCAGGATTGGGCCTAATGTCATTAATCCCCTGTGATGAGATTAAACAATCAGGTGCCACAGCCACCTGAAAAGGAAAAAGGAAGTCAAGAGTCTACTGATCCCTATAGATCTGCAGATACCTGGCTGCAGACATGTTCTTTAATAACTTGGTGTTATATGAATGCCACTGGGTTTAATTAGTTTAATAAAGAACACATTTTTGTACAAAATGTACAAATCTTCTTCTTTTAGTTTGTGTCATCTTTGTCTAGTATTATTCAAGTGTCATTCAATTTAAAGTTTGTTGTCTAGTCATTCCATTTCTGTGGAAAAAATGGACAATATGAAGGTTCTGCTAAATGTCTTTTATTGAGAGATCTAGATTATTTTTGTTAATTCCCTCTATGTATGTTGTTCAGTACTGGTTAATTTTTTTTTCAACTTTTGGCCATGTTCATTTGTCAAATTGCGTCAGTTATGGCAAAGTGTTGATCCTTGAAAAATCTTGAGGGAGAATCTGCATAAACCATTTTCATGATCTGGGTTAGTCTCATTCACTTTAGATTAACTCTGTACACGTCACTGGATTAACCACATGGTGGAAGTGCCTCAAAGTGGAGCTAGTGTGTCTCTGTAATGTAGTTATGACCAAATGTATTGTTTTAATTATGTATCTGTTATTATAGTTGGCATTTGTGCTAAAATGATTAATGAATAAGAATAAATACTTATTGGATATAAAGCTGGTTTGATCTGGTGTTGTACTTTAGGTATTATCATCCAAAGGTGTTTGTTTAGACAGAGAGCAGTAGGAGAGAAAAAAAAAATTTAAAAGCAATTTTTTTCTTTTGAATAAATATGTTATTGCTAATATGTTTAACAAGCAAAAAAAGGCAACGATGTTTGGCTGTACACCTTCTAGCTCTAGCTGCAGCTGTAATACAGACATCAAAGTGTATCATTGGAATGATGATAGTAATTTAGTCAGGAGTTTTAGTTATTTTATGAAAGATTTTCTTCATAAATATCTTGGTTAATTTCTAGCAAATGCAATGAACGGTGACATTGTCGTTGCGAATACATTATATTACACTGTCGATGCCTTAAAAGGGAGGAAAGACAGCAAATAAAATGCTTTGCTTTACAAAATTAGTCACAAAGGCCGAATTGACTGTTGTTGTTAATTTTGTTCAATAGATGGCAGTGACGATCATTTTGTCTTTCGTTCAACCCACTATGATCCGTGTACCAATAGAATAACGCCATTCTTAAGTTCACAAAGACCTTTCAAAATAAGAGTTTGAAGCTCGTAGTCTTGATAAGATAGACATTTCCGGGAGATGAGTTCTTTTATTTTGTCATGTAAAATATTTGTAGCCGGATGTTTACTCGTCAGCACTGTAATACGAGCATGGCAGTTTCAAACAGAAAACAGCTTTTTAAGTTTATTAGTCAGTTAGGAGCCTTCATTCTAACTCGATTCGGTTTTTGGAACTGCTTCTGTATGTTGATGCTGTTTGCTGAGAGAGCGGACTCAAAAAGGTAAGAAAGAAAAAGAAATTTACGGGCAAATGTTGAATGAGTGAATGTTAGCATGCGTGCTAAACACTAATACACAAAATATCTATAGGTTAAATTCACACAGTAACTGGCCAACATAATGTCTGGCATCGTCCTAAAGTTTTCGTTAACCTTTCAAATGAGCGCATGTGTAACTTTTAAATTTGTTTCAGAAAGGTTGTGTATAGATGAACAGCTTATAGTAAGTCGGATCTGTAATTATCAGTCGAGACTCTGTAATTTCCTTGAGTAATTGCAGTTTCTCTCTATCTCTCAAGCACATTGGGTGTGTTTGGGTTGTTGTCTGAGGTGGGTTGGTCTTGTGTAGACAACCCACACCCTCCGACTTTACTCAGAAACCACAACAGCTCTGCAGATATGTAAAACATCTGCTTCTGTGACTTGTCTTTTTTTTTTTTTTTTCAAAAGGAAAAAACGTTAACATCTTATCCACAGTATTTTACCCAATACTCAGTATTGCACAAATTTACCTCGAAAAATGCATTAAGTACCCTTCAAATATTTAACAATGTCCATTTTAATGGTACAATTTAGAAAAAATATACTTTTTTGGTAATTCAAATTTTGATCAAAGTAACATTCCATACTAATAATTTCTTGGAAAAGTCTTCAAAAATAAACGTTTTTCAAAAATGACTAGAAATGCACTTATTACCCTTCAAATATGTACTGTACCAATGTCCATTTTCATGGTTAAAATTTAAAAATATATATATACTTTTTCGGTAAGTCAACTTTTGACCACAGTAACATGTCATTAAGTTCATAAGAAAATGTCTTCAAATATATTCACATAAACATAACTTGATTATTAGTATCAGTTTTTCAAAAGGTTATTGTGCATCTTTGGTTGCATGTATCCAACGATGAGGGTGTGTTTTGTGGAGATTTTGAAAATCATCAACTTAATGCCTTTGATTTTATCATAATTTAATGGTTTCCTAGCAATTCTAATTTCATGTTGGACATTATAACATTTGCTTGTTTTATTGCAGTCTGTACCAGAGGTTTTTAATAAAACAATCTTGTAAAGCTCATATCAGTTGGGTGAAATGACACTGTTGTCTGCCATCCTCTCCAGGAAGCCAGACATCCATGTCCCCTACCTGTACGTGGACATGGGCGTTGCTGTGCTCTGTGCCAGCTTCATGTCATTCGGGGTAAAGAGGAGATGGTTCGCAATGGCGGCTGCCTTACAGCTTGCTGTCAGCACTTATGCATCTTACCATGGAGAAAATGTTCACTACAGTGAGTGGCTGAAAGTGAGTTGAATTTATCAGTCAAATTACTTTTCCTTTCCATTTAAATTAAATTTAAAAGACGTTGTTATTATTTTGTTATTTTTTGTGCTAAGATGAAGCTTAGTTTGTGCTGCTCTTCAGGTACGAATGTATTCCAGAGCACTGGCTATTATTGGAGGCTTCCTGGTTCTGGCCAGTGGAGCAGGAGAGGTTTATAGACAGAAACCTCGCAGCAGATCCCTACAGTCCACTGGACAGGTCTTCCTGGGAGTCTACCTCATTTGCATGGTAAAATCAGTCTAATGCAAAATATCTTTATGTGAATAGGCTAAGTAACATGCCAACCTTTGAAATGTGACAAATTCGTTGTCTCTGAAGGGGGCTGAACAGAAAACACAGGACATAGTCATTTAAATTTAACACAGACATGTAAAAAGGAATGATTGCAATTTATTTATTGCTCATAGAAAATCTGCTGTTCCTAATACAAGGTTTCTTTGTGCGTTCTTAAGCTTTTTCTTTGTGTCACTTACATTTAATGCATCTAAATGTATAAAGATGGCTTTAGAACAGTCACACATTATAATAACATAGGAAACCAAAAATGCGCCCAAAGCTATTAACATTATTTAGCTCAGAATTATTTTAAGCTACGGTCTCCCCTTACCTGCTTAAAGTTACCTTTACTTAACAATGCTATTTTTCCAGTTTATTTAAGCAGTGTAGTTCCACTTCCCCCCCACTAGGTATACTCCTTACAACACAGCAAAGAGGATAGACTGGCCTATCTTAACCACATCGCTGGGGGAGAGATCATGGTGATGCTACTGGAGGTTCTATTTGGGGTTCTGGCACTGGCCTTTCTCTCTGGCTACTACATCCGTCTGGCTGCTCAGATTCTGGCCACGGTGCTCCCTCTGATCATCCTGCTCATCGATGGGAACCTGGGATACTGGCACAACACTCGCAAGGTGGAATTCTGGAACCAAATGAAGCTGATGGGACATAATGTGTGCATCTTTGGAGCTGCGCTGATACTTGCAACTGATGGCTGAACCACAGAGTATCACAGACTTGTAGAACGTTTCTAAAGTTGCTGGGACTTCTCAGGATTCAAATGCATGAAGATGAAAATGGTTGAACAAAACCACAATGGCCGTTACATGTTTGCCTCCCTCAGTGTAACATAATACAAGAAACACTGGAGCTTTCTCTGCAATTTCACGTTTACATTTCTTTTCTGTTATGCGAGTGTTACAACATGAATAATTTGTATAAAAAATTTGTATTAAAATAAAAACACACTATGTCTACTCATTTGTAGAAATAGAAAAAGAATGAGACACTTTAAAGTTTTATTGAAAAGGATGGTTGAAGCGGTAAATTTATTTTTATGGATTTTTCAGGATGG